GCGTTTTCTCTGAACAGACGTCGGACCAGGCCTTGGTTCTTTTGACCAGGTGCAAGGGGGGGGCAACCAGAAACTGGATTTCCAGGATTCTTCTAATCTCAAAGCATCCTGTAGCTAATGTCCAATAATATGAGAGATGAAGATATTGAACATCCACCATTGGCAAGTTCCTTTATACTTGTGCTTTTTTCTTAAAGGGATTTCTTGGGTACCAAAATTACTGACATTAACGCCAAAAAATATATCAATAAATGTCTAGAACATCAGTGATGGATACTTCCCTGATTTTCCTTCCATGGATTTTCTATCCCTTACCATCAATAGACAAATCAGACATGGATGTCGATGCTCGTCGAATCTCCCACGAAGATGACCATCCGTTTTCCAACAATTCTGCCAATGCCACCCCTCGATCAATTGATCGTAGCCTTGTGATTTAGGATCTACTACTAGTGACCCCAGATAAGAAAAAGATAGAACAAGTAGGTCCCCTCTCATTTCGGATAGTGAACACACTTCTATCATGTTCTGCACAAAATTGGGGACCTCAAGCTACGGATTTCTGCTGAGAACCTCAAGCTTCACACGCCGAACACGCGTTCCGATGCTTCGGCGACCCAGGCATGTTGGCCTGCGCCCTTTGGATGCATGACATGTCGGTTGACCGAAGCGAACAGCGGAGCATGATTTGTGGAGTAAGAGCCCTAGCCTTTCAAGACAACTTGAAAATGGTTGACCTGGTTTTGTAGTCTAAAACCATCTAAATCCCATTAGTAAACCAATGGCTGTTCGGTAAAGGCCTAAAGGCCATCAAGTCAATGGTGGTTGGAATCCCAGGGAGAGTCCAATGCTTTGGACATTTTTCGACCCGTGACGGTCTGTGACGGTCTGTTGCTTGGGAACGCATGGATCGGAGACGACCGTGATCCATTGGTCGTGTCAAAGAAGGGAGCCCGCGAGGTGTTCCAAAATGGGGGGAGCCTCGAGAAACAAAACAAATCCACTATGGGAGGTCGGTCACACATGCTTTCAGTTATTTTTTTTCGGGATCCATTTTCAGCAAGAAGACTCGATAGGTATAGGGTAGGACATACTCAGAGTATCTCAGAGTACTTCTTATTGCAGCCAGGCAAGAGCTAGAGAGGCTTGAAGTGCAGGGGGTCGACAAGAGTCTGTTTTTGACATACCTGGATTAATTTGTCAAGACATGTGGACAGCATGGTTGGATAGTAATCTAATATATGGATTTGTGATCATCTGTGAGCATGTGCGATGAATTAGATTATAGTAATTCTAATTATATATATAATTCTAATTTTACTTACTGTACTTCTTGTTTCTAATAGCTTCTTGCTACTAGTAGTAAGGCCAGGAGCCCCTAGTAGCGTCCTTTGCTCCTACCGTGTTTTTTTGTTCAGAGCTGTGCAGACGACATCAGACGACAGGCGATCATGTGTGACACAGTGTGTGACACCTTCGATGGGGTACCAGGATTAACGGATTAACTGTTTAAAGCTTACCTCTAGCCTGCTTGATGACTTTGTTGCTATAAATGGACCCACCCCCTTTGGAGCACGAGAAAAAGCCATATATGTGCAGGTATCGTATCGCGGAATGGGTGGGAGTCTGCAGGGTGGGAGTACCTTACCCGCCATGTTCCAAAGACGGTGTAGAAAGGGTGGTTCAGACCCTGACCACCCCTGGTTGGAGAGGTGTTTCGGTGAAGAGGTGGGTATGAAGAGGTGGAGAAACACAGAAACCATTCATTTCTATGACAGGTTCAATTATTCTAACAGATTTTAACCCAAACTCGGGATTTCCTCTTATTCCTTGAACGATTCATTGTTAATTTCTATGACAGTGGTCGTTTGTCATTCCTTCTTACTCTTGAATCCTTTGTGGGTCGTATGCGGCAGAATATCTCCGCATCCATGTATCATCACATATCATGATATCTAATATATCTCCATAGCCTCGAACATCGTCTTCTTCTCTTGAGGTCGGTTATCTTCTGTCAATTCCTCAAAAAAAAAACCTTCTGAGCCTCTTGGCCTGAACCCGGGCGCCACGGTGATCTCAGGTGGGTTACATCGTGCCGGAGTACTTCCGCTGGCCTGGCTACCTGTCTCCGGAGAAGGGCATCAAGTTCGCCGACATGCCCCACGGCATCGCCGCGGTCTCCAAGGCGCGATGCGACTCGCGACATGCTCCACGGGTCTTCCAATCGGGTCGGAGGTCGGAGGTTTCCATCGGATGTCGGTCAAGACAGTGGACACTTTGTGTTCGATGTCGCCGCACTTTTCCACTTGGTGTCTGAGCTCGAGCCGGCCACCACGCAACCATTAAAAAAGGATATGCCAGATCGTCCTAAGAAGGACTGAGCGCCTTTGCCGCCTTAGCCCTGTGAGTGCCTCTCTCAAACTCCTGCACCCCGATTTCGCTCCCAGTGAATTTCAACAAAGATACACGCACAGACTATATGACTATATATATATATTGTTTTCGACGAAGGGATCTCCTCGGATGACAGGTGCCCTTGGAGGGCTGGGTTCAGATTGCGCTCTTCATTGGCCACATGGAGGGCTACTTCTGGCGCCAGGACCCTAAGCGCGCCCCAGGCGACTATGAAGGCGCCTCGCGGTTTCAGGGGTTTCATGGGTGGTGCTTGGGCGGGCTGAGGAGATCGTTTTAGGGTGGTGCCTTGGCGCCACCCCCCCTCAAAATGGGACTTCAGCCATTGTGGGAACCTGTGGGAGCTAGAGCGAGAGGCTACGGCTTCTTGGGCACGGGCAAGAACTTCATCTTCAACTTCGAGCCCATTGAGTTCAAGGATGCTGAGGCCGCGCTTGGGCATGGGCCGGGGGGGGCACTGGGACTCTGTCAGACAGGATTCTTTGGCGGTGCAGCATAGATCCACTCTAGACTTGCATTCTTTATATCTGTTAGGACGGATCCAGTACTTGGGATAAAGCGGGTCAGGATGAGAGAAGGCCTGCCCAGACTTGGGAGAGAACAGACCACTTATGAATGGATCAGTTATTGATTTTCTGGAGGACATGAAACCACTCACTCCATCTGGCTTTGGATGCTTGTCCGGACCCTCTTGCGGGACACCCTTTCAGGTGAAGAAGACCAAGCTCCGCGCAGAGATTGCGAACGGCCGACTGGTCACTTGGGCCATGTTTAGTTTGGTGGTTTCCAAGAGTTTTGTCGTTCAACCTCTACCTGGGATGTTTTTATTGTTCCTTTTTTTCAAGGTTGAAACCACCAACCAGTCTTCTTTGCGCGAGTCTCCATATCGAACTGGAGGTCTATCATGTGGGTAGGTCTGGGGTTGACGAGTTCGCCCGCAGCAAAGAGAAACAGGATCGTTTGAGAGACCCCCTCCATCAATCATGGAAGTGGACACCCCTTGGTTTGTAGAAGACAGTTTCCTTCCAAGTGCCATCCACGTCCATGATAGTTGGATGGAGGGTACCCCAAAATCTGGCTTTGCCATCCACATATGGCCAAGCTCCTCAAGGTGAGGGCTAGGTTCCCTGAGGGAGTATGAAAATCCCCAGACCCTGGGACACCAGCCCGAACGTCTTTGTTAATTGCTTGGTTGCTTCCCTCACCAGAGCGTTTTCTTCAAGAAGAGTGGGACAGGATCAGAGAAGACTAGTAACTAGGTGTCGGAGCTGTCGGCTGTGAATGAAAGCCTTTTATGCCGGTTCCCAGCGGGGCCCACTGGACCCCAGAAGAAGGAGGTGGGAGAGGCATACCTAGACTTAGACATTGCCAATTCTACTCTCTACTTTGCTGTGTGATGTGACCATCAAATCGATGCGCATCTCTCTCTCTCTCACTCTTATTACTGAGTATGCATACAGACACACAGAGAAGAATCGTATGGAGTTGATATCTGGGGCCAACTGTGCTAAGAAAGGCCCCTTGAAGCTCTATGATTTCCACCCTAGACTGCGGATTCTCCCAGGTTTGCCTCACCACCCACACCAGGCCCATGCCATGAGTTGAGCCATCTCCAGACATCACGATGGCCACCTCGCCAGGCCATGGTGGCTTTGATGGCGATGCTCTTTCAGAATGGCACTGTGGGCACCACCGGCCCGGCCATGTGGCTGCCAGCAGCCTAAGGCCCAGTCGATGGGAGGCCTGGTTCGTGGAGGTTGCTGGCACTTCGTGGAGTGGAACTCTTTTTGGGGGAAAGGCTGAAGCTGTTCAGCTTGGAACTGTGACACGAGTCTTTTCTTCTGCTGTAGGGGTTCCAGGTCGAAGAAGATCCTTGAAGTATATCGTCAGAACTGCAAGCACTTGGTGACCCCTTGTGGCGATACAACAAGCGCGGGAATTCCAGGGATAAGTGCAACGATAAGGGATGACACAACCACACACACAACCACGCGCTTTGCGTGGCTTGTTCGTAGCATTTTGATTCTTCCACTCTTTCACGCAGCCGAATGAAGCCACGAGGGGTGGGAGTCCCGGTGTTGCCACCTGGCCCATTCACGACAGGCAGAGGATTGGAGAGATGGAGTGCTGCAGAAAAGGGCGTTCGCCCGACCGGTGGGGTCTGTTTCGGAAACAGCACTTCCTGCGCTTCTATCCGATGTCAGGTCCAAGAGGTCCAAGAGGTCCAAGAGGCACGCGGTCATGTCAGGCCAGGTCAAGAAGTGATGGATATCCTCGTGACCCACCTGACATCACCTGACCAGTCCACCAGTTGTGTTCGTGTTCGCTGCGGCTCTATACAGTAATTCCACTGACACCATTGCAATATAACTGAATAGCTTCGTGTTACTACTAGTAAGGCACCTGTTACTACTAGCGTGGCACTTGTTACTACTAGCTTCTTGTTACTACTAGTAAGGCACCTGTTACTACTTTCACGATTCACTTCGTGTTGGGCCGTTGAATCCTAACTGACGAACATGCCTTGACGCACGTTTTCGCTCCCGCTGCACTCGGCCAAGCGATCGCTGGTGACTCATGGCCGTACCGGCTCAAGAGCCGCCCCCGCGAACTGCAGGCTACGTTTTTAGCATAGATTATTTTTTACGTCAAACAGCCATGGCCGGGAAGCTCAGGTTTTGGAAGATTCTAGGACGAGAGGGTGGTTCCGCATTAATGGCAGGCGGATTTCGTGACTCCGTTGGATGCTTTTGGAGAAACAAACACACACACACACACATGGTCACTGATATGATTCATATGATCACGATGTAACATGTATGATGTTCTGATGTGATGGATACATAATTTACATTATAACTTGTTCGTTTTTTGGACTATATTGGTGATGCTTTATCAGTCAGCGCGCTTTGGGGTGTCTTCCAAGTCACATCAGGTGCCCTTTGGACCAGGAGCAGGTTGGGGAACAGCTTCTTAGAAGGTGCCCAGAGGTGTTGGGGAAAGCTCATCAAACCCGTCAAAACCTTGTGACTGTCAGTTTTCTCCAACCAAAAGGCCCCAACATTTATTCAGTTGAACACTGGTGTATCTGGAACTTCCGAAATCTCTAAAAATTAGAGGATCCATTCTTCCAACCGGCACTGTCCAAGAACTGTAGGTTCCCCAAATCAGGTATGAACTTGTTGAACCAATCCGTTCCTCACATTTTGGAAGTATCATCAACCACATCCCGGCCCCCCGTCCCTCTCCCGAGGCCAAGTCAATGGGCCTGATGGCGGCGGCTGCTAGCGCCGCCTACCTTTGCCGCGAAGCCTTTGTGCCCTCCAGCGGTGCGACGGAGGTGCCGAGCGTTTGCGGTCAAGTGGAAGAAACCCGCCAGGGGAGAAGTGGAGTGCTTCCTTGTTACTAGTAGCTTCTTGCTCCCAGTAGCGATGGCCTCCACCTATTAGCTTCTTGCTGTGCTTCAGGAAGAACGATGTTTCTTGGCCCCCTTGAATGGAGTTCAACCCTCATGTCACACGGACGCGCGCGGGAGGCCCCAGCCTCCCCTGCCTTGCTCCGTGGCGCTGAACGTGTGGGACAGCGTTCCACGTCGGGTGGCACTGTGCTGCCCAGTCTTTGTGGGGCAGCGCTGGTGGCGAGCGCAGCCAGCAGCTTGAAGCGTAGGAAAGCAGCAACTCAGCAAGTCTAGAGTCTAGACGATGGTTCCCACTGTATAATGACAAGGCTTGTTTAACGTGGGTTAGAAGATTTGTATGGACATGAGGGGTTGAGGATGGTTGAGGTAAGAGTGGAGTGGTTCTGCAGAACTTTTCTGCGCACATCTCGCAAACAGTTCCCAAGGCCTGCAAGGCTTTCGAGAATGAGATGGGCGCCACTTTGCCCTTCAAGTACTTCGACCCTCTGGGAATGGCCAAGGATCGACCTTCTTTCGATGGGTTCACAGTTCACGGTGAATTACGAGCCACACATGAAAATTGTGATTCATAGTGAATTCCACCGATCCAAAAGACCTTGAAAGTTAGTACCTTTATTGTACCTTTATAGTATTTGTTTGCGGGCTATTTTTTAGCATATGTTATTAACTGTCTAAGTTGCTTTTCAGCTCATGGCATTTGCTTTTTACGAACCTTGTTGTTGCATGCCATGCATTTGCACGGCCCTTCGTTCGAGCCCAACGTGGATGGGATGGCATGGCCCCGATTTCCGAAGACCAAACACAGGTGGTGACATCCACTTAGCATGATGATTTCAGGGAGTGTAGTGATTTTTGCTCACCAAATGGTATGTGTGTATGTGTGGCATGTTGAAGCCCTTTTCAGCCCCGTGAAGCCCAGTGAAGCAGGTCAAGGTTTGGGACTCCGATGGGAAAACAGGCTGGCCCCTTGGTTCTAAACAATTATAGACACGGTTCTTTTTGAGAATTTTAAGGCACACTCATTTTTGTTTACTCAGATCAGAGACATTCCGCCACCACCATGGACCCCACGAGGGGGTTTCAGGCGCGAAAAGCATTCTTTCTTGGCATCGTCAATTGAATTAGGCCCGGGAGTTTACCCCTCCGGCGACGCCTTCGAAAACGACAACGGGATGCCGGGATGACGATTGACATCGATCGACCGCCCATTGGACGCTTCCGAAGGAGTCCCAAGGTCAGTGGCCCCTTCCCCACCGAGGGGTCCGGCCGTCGAGTGCGTTCTCGTCAGGACGGGGATCAAGAAACCTTCCGACGCAGGAGGATCGCTGAGATCAAGAACGGTGCCTCGGCATGAGAGCCCAGCTCTTGGCCTGTCTCAACGTGGGATCAGTCCCCATCCTCGAAGAGGCCGCAACAAACGAGACAACAAAGTAACTACATATGAGGGGACCCCAAATGACATTCATTGGTGTGGCCTAATGGAAATTGGAACGCCAAACGCATTCCGGGGGCCTTCCCATGGTTTCTATAAAAGGCCACACGACAAACATGAGTCGGCTGTGTTCTCCTCACAAAAAGGGACCAGCAGACAGTGAGTGCTGGAAGAGCACCTGCCCGTATCGAGGCCGTGTGGCCATGATGGCCTGCATGGGCTATATTGCACCAGAGTATTTCCGCTGGCCTGGCTACTGCTCCCCTTCCACAGGCCTGGGAGCACTTCATGTGCACATGCTCCCGCGCAAGAAGAACGCTCAGCAGCTGCGAGCAAGGGCGTAATGGCGTATGGGAGTGTAAGAACATTATACATCTCAACGAATTACAAATTTATCAAACAAACATATACATACATGTAATTATATACATACGTCCAAACACTGGGCCAGCCGACCGTCTCCGAACGGTCGAAAACGCATGGGCATTCCTTTTCAGCTCCGGCCGATAGAAGTCCCTGCGGTCGATACGACATGCGGCACCCTTGGTGAATGAACGAATGGAGGCTGGCATTCATGGAAGCTTTTTCACTGGCCTTTTCAATCACTGGTCTTTAAAGGTGCGATGGACATCGGTGCCAGGAATGCATGGTCCATCCCAGGCCATATCATGAGCGATGTCACGCTCGGCTTGAAAGCGAATCAAGAAGCTCTAGAGGTCACGCAGAAGAGCGGTGGTGTGCTGTCACTCATTTCACAATATGACTTGGCTGTCTCATCTTTGGCCAAGGCGAGCTCTGCATATGACATGTGCCCGAATTGGACTACAGTCTTTCCCCACTGCTCCACCGAAGAGACGTCATAGGCGGTGGCGTGTGAGCAGCGCCAGCATAGGAAGTTGATCCTGGGTGCCTGCTCTTGCTTGACTTCGGGTGCGCAGGCATGACGGTGCTTGGTAGCGTCAGTCATCGCTCTCATAGGCTCGCCGAAAGGATGCTGTAGTCTTCTAGGTTTCCTGACTGGCTGCTGGATGTTCGAGCGCGAGTGACAGTGGCACGGATCCTGCTGACGCCTTGGCCAACAGATGATGAAACTGAGTTGGCTCATCCGGTGTCAGCGACATGAGCAAAATCAGCACAGGCACGCTGTGCTTGAGGTCAAATCATGACAGTAATATATGATATATAGTCAGTATGTACAGTAACTATGGAAATTATGGCCACACCAAACTACATCGTCACATCGTGAATCAGTTTTGCGCGACTCTCCAGACTAAAGCATCATTCCAACATGGCCGTCAGGAACGGAAACGAATTGGAGCAGCATCAAAAGTTCTTTTGGCTATCTCATCCGAGCGCACTTGAAGTGAAAAAGTGATGCTAATTCCCACGACGGGTTTTCACATGGACACAAGAACACTTTAGTTGAGACATTTGCGGGCAGCTGCTCCACACTATGTTCAGGAGTAGTTTGGTAATACCCTGACGTACACATGGCCGAAGAAGGTCAGCAGGTTCTTGTCGGTCCTTGAAACATCCGTCCTGTAGACAGCCATCTTACCGAACCACCTGTTTTTCAGGAATTCTTTGAGGATCGCAATGTCTCTGAACTCAAGTGATCGTCTAGACTTGTGCAATCTGTTGCCAAGATGGAAAGCTGTGAAACCTGCTGAGAGCCAACATTGGAGGGCACTTTTCGACAAGCCCCCGGCGTTTCTAGCCTCAAAGTCTTGGACAACAAAACCTTGTAGGGTCGAGCTGACTGCGCGTGGAAGACGGTAACTTTTCCAAGTCACTGGTGTCCTTGGTGAGACCTTGCCATGATGCGAATCCCGTTGAACGAAGGCTAGGATATATCCTGGGTATGGCGACCCACGTTGGCAAATGCAGCGTCTGAATGGCAACAGATGGTGATGGCCCTTCTGGATCTATGGAACAGAACCGAATGCTCATGTCCTTGAACAGTTTAGCTCTGCTAAGGGCACTTTTGACTGAGAGTGGGTGATTGCAACAACCCCGATGTCCCCGATGTGGTTTTCTCTGCAAGATCCGGATCAAGCTTGAACGTGGTAGGATCATTTACATCAACACTAGTGACTAAGTCTTTGATGGTTTTCGATTGATCGCAAGCCTCCACCCTATGAACCTACTAGTGCATGCTCAGCTCTTATTGCTTTAGCCCTTTCTAAAGTGAAGACCGATGGCTCCCTTATCTTTAATGGTTCCCTATTCTTCGAGTTTGGGTTTGTTGACCAACAGTTGAAGGTCTGGGGCATTTTTTGGTACTCAACTTCTTTTGGATGTAGGCCGCGATGTGTTGCAGATTCTCTTGGGCCGCTTCAACTGACTGCTGACTGCACTTCAACGTGAAAGGGGTTGGAGGAAAACTCACCAACAGGTTCTTCTCAAAGGCGATGCCAGCTGAGGTCTTCTTCTTTGAAGCCACCGCATATTCTGGATAACAGCTGTCGCATGGCCTTGCCAAAAGTTCCTCCCTCTTCATCGCTCCAAGGCTCCGGGCTGAGACTGTTGATCTGGGGCCCGAGCGATGAAGAATCAACCCCTCAAAAATTGACACTTTGTCGCGCGCGGCAGTCAAGCAATTCTGCAGATCAACGTTTTGAGAGATTCATCCTCAGTGGCCTTAGACTTGAAGATCTCTGTGAGTGACTCTGACATCTCATCTGTCACCTCCTTCTGCAGGAGTCGTTGATCTAAAGGATCAAACATGGCCTTTCCACCAACAACTTGCTGGTAGACGGAGGGCTTGAGATGCTCCACGCACGCAAAAGCTTTGCCACTCAACAACATGTACACACAGGCCCATTTTGCTTCACCGGGCATTTGGCCAGGCCCCGCTACCAATGTCAAAACGCTGGTAGACCGTCTCCGAACAATTGAAAACACATGGACATTCCTTGTCAGCTCAGACCGATAAAAGTCCCTGCGGTCGATACATGATGAATGAACGATTGGAGGCTGGCCTTCATTGAAAAAGTATCATATATATCAATGGGCTTGGTTCCGACTGCTACCCTGAATGATCTGAATGTAGTTTGTATGGTGTGGGGCCCGTAGGGCGCCTCTCATCCGTTCGAGGGTGTTAGCCGGCCGTTTCGGGGCTTTTGCAGACCTCAAGTTCGCGGACATCCCCAACGGCACCCAAGCCTTGTACAAGATGCCTGCGGAGGCTACAGCTTGTGGCTGTGGGCATGCGGACACCAAAGAGAGGTGGGTCGACTCAACAGAATTAACCACTGGTGTTTCTTTTCTTTCATATCATGTTTATTGATTGTTTCTTTAAAGCTGGGTGATAGTCTGGCCATTCTCAAGCCTGTTGACGAGGTTGCACGCACGGATTGGTCGAATCGGTCTGAGAGACATGACAACCAACCAATGGGGTTCTTCACCGTCTTCCCATCTCCAGAATTCTCCAAATATTTTTTCAATCACGGGCCACGCCACGTGGCGCTGCACCACCTCTTGAAAAGTTCGCCAAGTGAAGGGATCCATTTTTTTCAGGACCGATGGTCGTCCCCTTAGAGCCTCGCTCTGGGTCATCGCATGGTCGCACTTATATGATGCATGGCGACCCGTTTGGTCGGAGCAACGCCTCCTGATGGAGCGATCCCTCGCGATCCCGCCATGCAGAAGCGATGGAGGCCTGGGCGCAGATTGCGTGCTTCATTGGTTTCCTGGAGCTCTTCCCCATGAGGCCCATCATGGCGAGAGAGGAATTCAGAGACATGGCCAGGAATGAGGGGCCTACTCTCCAGAGACCATCTTCACAAGGATGTAACAGGTACCAGAAACGCTGGCGCTGGATTTATTGGAGGGCCACCAGTATGCACCAGTTCTGTCAGCAGTCCAGCGAGTTCAGCAGGGATCACCCCTAAGGTGTGCCCTTCAAAAAGACAACCCCTCCTTCCCTTCGCCTAATCAAAGTTCGCTCACGGACTTTTTGCGTTATGAATTGTTTTTAATGTTTTTGCTGAGAACGGACGATGTTTTCCCCTCATTTGTTTGGAGATCACTGCACTGCGGGGAGACTCTTGGAAGGACCACCAGATACATTGGGGATCCAAATGGAGGGAGCACGGGTCTCAGGATGTATGGTGCCTGCATGCAACGAGATACATAGGGGATCAGAGACCCCTCCCAGTCTTGCTTGACCAGCCGCGATGAACGAATAGATTTGAAGAGCTCCAGGTGGGATCAGTGAGTATGGGATGTTGCTGGGTGTGGATGTCTCATTTCGATGTCGGAAGTTGGAAGGCTGGGGCACACAAGGCCAGGAGAGGCCCTGAGTCGTTTAGGTTGGTCTTTTGGCCAGGCAAAGAGAGACAGAGAGACAGAAAGACAGAGAGAGAGAGAGAGACAGAGCGAGCGAGCTAGCTCTTGACGCACAGTTGGAACTCCTTCCCTTCCAACTGTTCCGACTCCTCCCATTTCTCAATCTTTCTCAGGCTTCTGGGCAGACCTACTTTGCTACTTTCTTGAGATCAGATCCCCCTTGGACCGGCCCCCCAAAAATCCATCACGGTTATTTGGTTTGCAACCACCACACATCACTATGCAAGGACTACCCCCACCACCCCGGGATGTGGCTCACTTGGCTGTGGCTCCAGGCAGGAGAAGGACCGCATCCCAGGGGATGCCCCAGGCTTCGGCAAGCTGGGCTTGCCCTTCGCGACCAAGGCCGTGTCTCGGTGGTGGTCAGTCCAAGTGGGCAGGTCAAGTCCACCTCAAGTGAACTCAGGGCACTGGAGCGGTGCGTTGCTGGTGGTCGGGTTGTTGAAGTGGTCTCTACATCAGTAAAGTAAGGCAAAAGGTTTGCTTGGGAAGATTCACATCCTAGAGAACCTTACTGGGCTTAGCGGTTGAGCGCATATGGCGAAGCCATGCAAAATCCAACTTTGAGACATGCATTAATACAAGGTTGCTTCATAGACCGGCCGAACATATGGTGCGGCAAACCGCGAACAGTGAACCCCTTCAAAGCGACCGAGGACCCGGAGAAGAACTGCCGGTCCCTGGATGCCGAGATCAACAACGGACGATTGGAGCCTCGGCCGGTGTGGGGGAGGAACACGTGTTGACACGTCGACACAGGGTGGGAGGGCGGAAGGGTGGGTGGCTTCAGCTGCTCGAAGACCTGGACCGGCTTGGACGCCTGGGTGAGGTGGGATGAATGTATACTCATGTACGAGCACATCGATGGGGTGAGGGCAGTGTCCGCCTTGCTGGCCAAGGCCATGGTGGCGATCACCGGGATGATCTCTCAGAACGCCTTCTTCGGGACCACTGGCCCGGACATGTGGCTCCCCGGGGCCTCCGCCTTCGAAGGTGTGGGCGGAGTGTCGGGTAAACCCAGGAGGACAGGGGCACTTGAGACTGAGTTGCGTCATCCTCACCCCCCAAAACATGTACAAAACATGCAAAACCCCTCCTCACTAGAGATAGGGATGTTGAGTCAACATGTTGTCCCCAAATTTAGGTGTTCCAAAGCTGGAAGAGCCATTCAACGTGAATTGGCGACGCTAGGCAGAGTCAATCGTCTCCACCATGTGTTCTCCCGATGAACCTGGCCTCTCTAAAGCTTGTTCCCTAATTTTCCTAATAATTTGAAGGCGAAGGACTTTCTGAAAAGGCAAGTCCTTTTCCAGTGAAACCTCCCAAAGATGGGATTTAGGGACAACTCTTCAGTGTCCAGTTCCACAAACGGACTCCGACGCAGCATGTGGACTCTGACTCCGGAGCTCCCAAACGGCGTCCCCAGCTCTGCTTTCGAGCACCGCGCAGCGGTGGACTCTCATTTTTGCATACTGGAACCACCTAACGATGGAGCAGATAGAGTGTGGAAACGGTTTCCAGCACTTCAAAGCACCTCACTTCATTGATCTAAGTGCGCTCCCTTGGAGATTGGCACCTTTCGCCTTCCTGATCTTCTATAAGGAAAAACACATCTGCATAAAGGATGCCGAAAAACGTCTCTGTCTCAGGGGAGCTGGGCGTCCAAGCGCCCGTGGGCTACTGGGACCCCTTGGGCCTCTCTGCCGATGGCGATGTCCCTTGGAGAGCGTGTTTCACGGTTCGTTCTCCTTGACACTTGTGAGTCTTTGGCCGGTCTCTGGAGAGCGGTCCTATAGGTAGAAGGTTTCGTTAGAGGGATGATGCAGATGATTCAGGATGATTCAGGTTTGGGTTCGTGTTTTGGAGTCTCGCTGGAAGCCCCGATCCACGAGCAAGAATCAACACGAACAAACATTCTGCATCTCGTCGGAGATATTCGCAGACGACCTCTTGGAAGCACAAGACTTCTCGTTCATTGCCGTCATCGATCACCAGCTGACAGCAGAGTGTGTGCATTGTCGACAGCAACAAGTTATCATGACATCCTACAACCCAATGAGTGGATGGCTACCAGCAACCAGTGGGTAGAGCATGGTGAGGCTAGGGCCTAGGAACTCTGAATCTAACTTAGATTCATTGCATAAGGTAAACATTCGCAAATCCTAAGCCATTTGACCCTTGCCATTGATTGTAGGCTTCCGCACGCACATGTCCAGCCCCGATGGCCTCCATCCGAACCAGTAAACGCTGACTCTAGAAGGGTTTTCCAGACACACTCAGTCGATATATCTCACAAGCACCATGACGGGTGTCCATATATCATATAATATACAGTAAAACAAAGGTATCTCCCCGAACTCCTTTTTCCGATCAAATATCGCGAGGTCGAGGCTTTCAAGCGCCGCCGCGCCGTGGAGCTCAAGCACGGCCGCATTTGCCACGAAGCCGAGATAAGCGCAGGAAGTGTTCATACCACATGAGGCATCATGAGGCATCATGAGGCATCATGAGGCATCATGAGGCATCATGAGGCATTGGCTTGGAAATGGTTCTCTTTGGACTCGATTCTTTCATAGATGGGATAGTTTTGAATGTAATTGGACTCCCGAACTGTTGGATGATTTAGTGTTCGACTTGGGCTGTGAAGAGTCGTGGCGAAACGAACAGCCACCGAAGCAGCGAGGTATGCTCGCCACCGCCGCTTGGAGCTGCAAAGAACCAAAACCGCAGAAGAGAAAGGCCATGTGAACTCTTGAATATGTCCAAAAGAAGAGGTCAAAAGGCAGGACGCTATGACTGATCATGACATGCTAGGGGGCAAGATGGAGCAAGGAAGGTTTTTGGTTTGGATTTTTTGGGATGTTCATTCGTATTGCAAGAAGGTACAGTGCCTCCACTATGCCAACTAGATTACGGATATTTTTACACTTCGGTACGCTCATCTGACTATCTCGAACAGGGCTGACCTGAAATGAGTTTGTTGGATCCATAGACTAGGAGCCTGCAGCAGGTGTGAAAAAGGTGTCGAGAGATTGGCTCGCATCCCAGATTGGCTACATCGTCCCGGAATACTTCCGCTGGCCTGGATACCTCTCTCCTGAGAAGGCTTCATTTGGGCACTCCAATATTCTCTTTAAGGGAAAGGGTCAAAAGTTGATACTGGAGTAGTGACTTGCTCTGTTGATCTCTTTTGTATTTGGTCAAGAAGAGGCCATATGAACCGATGCCTCATCTCAAAAATCCTGAAATGATACGCCTTAATTTGAGAGAGTTGTCATTGTTGGTGATGTGATTTGTGCGCTCCCTCCATTGATCACAATCCAGGCTAACATGTTGGGGGGCCGGATGCTCCAGGCATTCTGAGGCGTAAGCTTGATTGGTGGCTTAACTCCAGTATATATTTGTTGTTTCGTTCATGGTCTTTGCTTTGCTTATTTGGTAGTGCATTGATTAATGCAATTTATGTTATTCTTGACCTTTTATACGGTCGCTTCCACCTTGATTCCACCAGGCATAACGACTCAAACCTTCATGGCATCACAAGAGACGCCATGCTCTTTGGTTGGTGCAGGGCCTGAAGTTCGCGGACATGCCTCACGGCATTGCGGCCGTTTCCAAGGCCCAGAACTTGTGCAGTTGCTGCTGGTGCTTTTTTTGATGTTGGTATATGTTGGTGTGCTAAATTTGATCACATGCTGAGAAAACGGGGCGTATGACTTCTCGCCCAAATGTGGAACATGTTGTTGCAAATGCCTAGTGGACTTCCCCCCCCAAAAAAAAGGCTTTCGGTCCTACGAACTTTGCAAAAAAAGCACACACTTCTCCATCTGCTTGGATGGCAGGTGCCCTTGGAGGGCTGGGTTCAGATTGCGCTCTTCATCGGCCACATGGAGGGCTACTTCTGGCGCCAAGATGCGAAGAGGGCCCCGGGCGACTACGAAGGCAGGGGAGGGCTGAAGGCGGGGACGTCGTGGCCTAAAGATTCTAAGGATGTTGAGTGTTCAACTCAACGGGGATCCATTTTCTTGCATTCATGTTTGCAGGCTTTCTTTGACAGGGTGACAGGGTAGAATGATGTTTTGTGGAGGTTCAGATGAACAAACTTGAGAGAGCACCTCACTGCATAGAAGTATGTGTGCAGGAAAGCGCCGTGACAGGACTTCTTAATAGCGCAAAGTAACAACGCATGATCAGAATAACTAATAGTCAGAATAACCAATAGTCGTAGCGAATCTGCCCATTCAAGCGCTGTCCTTGCTGAAGTTCCATTTTTGGAAATATAGGGCTGCCATAAGTAGGGCCATGCTCAGCTTAAACCGCAATCCAGTTGCGGTACAATACCTCGCAAGCAGTTTCAGCCGGACGTTTCAGCGAGAAACCAATCCTTACTCCTTACTGGGACCTGTGCCATGTCTCAGCTTTGGTGCTTCCTTTTTGATCGGAAGTTCATCGAGCAAAGAGGGGTATATAATGGTATATATCTATATATTATATATACCACTTTCATGCGCTGGCTCACGAAGAATTTCACAGGTCACCAGCAAGGCATCCAAAGCCTTTGTATAGTGGTTTGATGAAGGTGACTAACTCTTCAAACTTTGGTGGTCACTAGCTATAACGCTCTATGACATTATGTACTGGACTTGGGAGTGCTGAGGCTACGGCTTCTTGGGCGTTGGCAAGAACTTCATCTTCAACTTCGAGCCCATTGAGTTCAAGGACCCTGAGGCATGTTGGGAGATATTGGGAGATGTTTGGTTCCCTGGCTTCCACAGAATCTGGGGAGTTGTGTGGTAAGGACTTGGTCTGAGAGTTGTTTTGAGGTCAGAGTTGACTCAAACATGAAGTTCCCATGTGGTCTGTCTGACAGGAATCCGTGTGGTCTTCCAGGCGAAGGCCCCCCACCTAAAACCGGCTGTTTGAAGTTGCCTCTCCGGCTGTTTGACGTGTCCATTTATTCACCACCCTTGGATGTTACAGTAGGCAAGACTGAGAAGAGGCCTCCATCTGGATTGTCATCTTCAGGCTTGTGTTTTTTCTTCAGATTGATGCCTTCGGGGCATCCCACCCGTCGACATCCACTGCCATCGACTTCTGCTGTTTGGTTCATCGGTTCACCAGTCACAAATGCCGAACGCCGACCAATCCACCTGTAGGGTCCCATTCATGGTCGTCTCCACAATCGCAACCAATTCAAAGAGATGTCTCCACGGAAAGCACACCCAGATTCTTCCGGCACACCCAAACAAGAGATTGACAAAAGAGATTCCACGATTTGACCTCGTCGGCCAGGTGAAGAAGACCAAGCTCCGGGCCGAGATCGCCAACGGGCGATTGGTGGCCGTGACCGAAGCGGAGCTGGGTGGAGCGCCCGGTGGAGAAGAACCCATTTGGAGGGCAACACCTCTTCTATCTCCCTCGTTTCGATGTCCGCCACTGAAGCCCCTGTTGGGCGGTCATGAAACGCCACCGTGGACACTCAAGGTCCACCGGCAGCAAAAGAAAGCACGTGAGACGACCGACAACCAAAAAGAGAGTCCATCAAAGAGAAAACTCCCAAGTTGAAAGATGTTTTGAGCAGCCTTGGTTGCATAAGCTAGTAAAGTCATGAAGTTCGTCAAGTGCAAATCGAGGAATTGCACCAACAATGGCCCCTTGTGGGAGGGCCTTTCCTTCAGTCTTGAGTCGAACGTTGTCCGTGAATCCAGGGAAGATACCATGGTCCGGTATCTTGTTGATGAATACAAGGGCTCTGCGAAGCCAAAACGTCAAGTCTCGAAATGTCTTGTCGCTTGCGGAACATGCATGGAGGATAAAACCTCTTTTCCAAAATAAAAAGGCAAATTCAACGTAGGACGTACAAAGATCATCTGAAACACGCCATTGTAGCGAAGTTGTGAAGTCAAAAAACGTGTTCAAGTCCACTGGATCAAGCTTGGACAACGACCCTCGTGGATGTTCAATCCGGAGGTCAGACGTCCAAGTAAACAAAGCAGGACTTTGGATCCAATCCCACCTGGGAAAACGTTTTCGAAGATCAATTGAAGCAGAAGATTCTGCCGAAGTATCATTGGCTGCTGTACACTCATGGTCAACTTCTAGCCCAATAGTACGATTCCATCGTGCAAGAAAAATCTGTCTTCGGAATACTTGCTTCTGTACCTCCTTGAAGTCTGCCGGGTGGACTGGAGCATGTAACAATGCAGTCTCCTTTGCTGCCTTGTCTGCAATACGGTTGAGGAAAATATCACGCCGAGTTGTATTGTGAGCGTGCGCGAACTGATCTGTAATGGATACATCGTCCAAATCATCAGCAACATGGGCTGGAATCCAAACAAGTTGAACCGGTTGAGGATGAAATTGCTGCCTCTGTTCAATAATTGACCAAATGGCTTGCCACCAAAAGGGGTGGCACCAATCACCTTTACACCCGGAAAGTTGAAGGAGTTGCTGGAATTGATCAACAACTGTCCGGCAGTCAGTGTGCACAACAATGGGAGCATCTGACAGGATGATTGTTTTATAGATTGCAAACAATTCAGCAGAATATGAGGAGAGCTTCGGGGATTGTACAGGACCAGTGTCAACAATTTGGCCTGAGGCGTCAATAATACTGTATGCTGCGGAAGTCAGCCAATATGACTCAGCAAGAATTACTGAACCATCGGTCCAAAAGTGCTTAGCATCAGCGTCGCCTAAGAAAGCTGGTGAAAAGTCCCCTCGTATTGAAGAGAACTGAAGACGATGTTTGGCGATTCCGACTGGGTGGTCAACCAATCCTAGTAATTGGAAGTTTGGTCCAAGCTCATGAAGCGGCGGTTGTTCATGAGGCAAGGAGCCAGAACAATCAGTCAAAAGATGTCGAAGGGACTCTGTTTCGGTGTTACAAAATCTACACAATTTGGATTCACAGAATCCGGCAGCCGCTCGTCGATCTCGTGTGATTGTACACCCGACACTTTGGGATTCGAAATGCGCAGTCAAATCAAGGGATTGGTCGAACGGCTTTGTATAGTTCTGTTGAAAGGACTTGTACAAAGCAAGATCCAAGAAGCCTGTTGGTTTGGCAAGGTCTTTCCGTGACTGATCAGCTGCACGTTCATAGCACCACTGTGCACACAAGTTCTGCAGAAGTGGCTTGATGTCATTAACTCCGATTTCCAGAATATGAAAACGGGAGGAGGCGAATACCAGAAAACCATCCTCTGACAGCTGAAAACGAAACAGTGCCAAAGCATCCTGGACACGTGCAAGAAGGCTATGCTTCGATAGAGCATGGTTTCGGAGCAAGTCACAACACTGCTGGACCCGGTCAGGATGTGAATGGATGAAGCGCCAAAACTCGATGATCGTGGAACATGCACGCGAGCACGTCGGTTCGACTCGGAAGGCCTTGGTTAACAGTGCAAACACAAGCATCTTGGAGCGCCAATGCGGTCTTGAGCCCCAAAAGACTTGGGCAATCTCGCTTTGCATCTTTTCTAAAGCTCTTTTGGGAATCTTGGAAATATGTGATGCGAAAGAGATTTGGGGCAGGACTTTACACCCAATGAGAAGTTCTTTGGTTTTCCTTGCAACAGGGAGGTTGGCGATGTTTCGGATGTCAGCAACCACCTTGTATAATTTCTTTTGATCAAACAAGAAGTTCTCTCTATCGGAAGTGTAAATCTTGGCTCCAAGAACATCGAACTCGAGGAAAAGAGGCAAGGAAGGGAAGTGCAACTTAGCGAGTTTACGTGCATTGGCACTGGTTGCCCACAAGACGCTCTTGGAATGATTCAGCTTTTGGCCGACAACCGTTCCCCATTGCTCAGTGATTTGGAGTGCACGAACAAGGTCATCAACACTGTTGATGTGAACCCATAAATATGCATCGTCAATGAACACTCTGGATGTGACATGAGGAATGTGCTCAATGAAGGTGGCCCAGACATGCATATATACATTGATTGCAATGAGTGAGAATGAACACCCTTGTGCAACCCCGTTTGCATTGGTGACACTATGTTTTGAGATCCAACCCCGGTAAGAAAGATGTTTATGTAGTCCCTTGTACATCAAGAGAAAGACATTCACAAGTCCCTTTGGGATTCCAAGCGCAAGCATAAAGGCACCTGCAATTGCAGGGATTAGCCGATCGAAGCATTTCGACTGATCAAGCTTGATCCCTATCAAGTGCTGATTAGAGGCTTGTGCAGAGTCAATATCCAGCCGAAGACCATTGCTAATGGAGGTCATTGAGCGGCCTTGGATGCCACCAAAAAGCGAAGGGTGCATTACCTTGGCTTGCCATGTTTGGAGTTGCCTGAACCTCGTCCCCGTGTATGCTAAAAGCATGGGGGATAAGATTGTGATCAATCTTTTATTTATCGGACTGGCAGGCCCAGCTTTATTCAGGATGGCTTGCTTTGCACACACTAGGACTGTTGGCAGGTCGCCACCACAATCATCTTCGACTGATTGGAAAAACTTTGCAATGACTTCGAGGCACTTGATTGGCAGGGCTTGTAAGTCAGTGGTACGCCATCCGTCAAGTCCTGCTGCTGCATCAGGGTTTCTAGCAGCAATGGTCTGCGCAAGAGCATCTGCAGTGAGTGGGGGAAGCTCGCACACAGCTGTATCATGGCGTAGGTACGGCCAGACTGCATGCAGGATATGGAGTGGATCTTCGTGCAATGCATTCGCTGAGAAAATGTCACCCCATTTAGAATTAATCAAATGGATGGCTTCATTTGGTTGACAAACGATATTTTGCTGCTCATCTAAGACGAGGTTGGAAGGTTCGTCAGCAACCTTATTTTTGAGGTGGTGGAAAATGTATTTCTTATTGGTGGTGGCAGATTCTTGGATTCGATGCTTCCAAGCTTTGATTCGAGATTGTCGCTTAGAAAAATCCCAAGCCTGAAGTTGAAATTGCACCCAACTAATATTAGCTTGCACTTCAACCAGGGATGGGAGACCATGAGAATGCCAAATGTGAGGGGCATGCAAGACTGCAAGTGTGCGCCAAGCTTTAACTGCTGTTCTTTTTAAAATGTGCTCATCCATAAGGCTTGAGACAGGACGCTGAAGACGGGTAAATAATTCCCACAATCGACCAAGGACATTTTGGAGCCAGGATCCTTTCAAAGTAAGAGCGGAATTCGACTTCGATTGACCCGGGCAAAACTGTTTTGGAGTGAAGGTTGGGGATCGACCGCGAGTCCGTTCGCCAAGACCCCACGTGGCTCCACTCGAAATTAACGTGTTAACACAAAAATTATTGATGACAGACCATTTGGCCTCTTGGGACTCGGCACCCTCATATTGGGGGCCAAAAGTGGAGTTCCACAGAGTATTTGCATTACAATTGACTGCATGGGACTTAGACGTACCTGGTTTGCCTAAGCAAGACGTGTCTAAAGGTGCAAATTTGCGGTGGACAAATCCATGGAGACGAATCGAGGTCCACGAAAAGACTGCACGGATGGGTCGGTGCTGAGAACCAAGTGTGCTGATGACTTCAATACTACGCAAGGCAGTATGAGCAATATGGTTCATGAGAATTCCATCAATAGAGGAGCAAAAGTCCCCTGAACCACTAAATGTGCCGTCTTTCGAATAGGTGAAAGGGCGTTGGGTGTCACCATTGGCATCACTCTGTGATAAGGGGTCAAACCATCCCTGAAAGTTAACCGCATTCGAGATGGAAGGATAATGTAGTGGATTCGATTGAAAGTCTCCGGCCAACAAAATCGGAATGTCGCCGAATTGAGCGGCAATCGAAAAGATGTCTGCAAAAACTTTATCGTTGTAATCAAAGATTTGCTGGTTGGCTGACGCAGCAGTTTTGGCGTAGATAGAAAAAACGAGGGCCTTTAACGAAGGTGTAACTTGGACCCAGCATGCGTTGGTGCGATGGGTATTGAACAGATTCTGATACAATCCAGAGTAATCTTCAGTTGAACAAAAGGGGGAAGATAACTCTGGAGGAGCCAAAATGGCGGTCCCCCCATTCATTGTCGTATGGAAACCGTCGGACCGAATTGTACCCTTCAGGGGAGCACACATGTGCAAGGCCTTCCCAGTTTCAGAGACAAGTTTCTGGGAGTGTCGGATGTTATTACAACCGATGCGTGTTTCTTGGACACACTGGACGGAGTCGAGAGAGTGCTTCCAAGAAACATTCGACTTGAGGCTGCCAATATTGGCTGAGGAAATGGTCCATTCAGTGGGGATATCGGGACCCTCACCCGGGAAACCAAGAAGGTGGTCGAACTCCAAGCGGGAGAAGTCAACAACCAGCGGGAAAAATGGAACAGAACTGAAAACAGGATCGAATTCAAAGAGGAGACTTG